GAAGATTATGTCACAAGCAATCCCAATTACAATAACCACACCAATTCTGAGATTTTGAGGGGGAGAAGTCAACTGGGGGATGAGATGGAAGGCTTTCTAACTTGACAGTTAAAGGAATCCAAATGGTACCCCATTAAAGGGGCAGACTAAAATTACTTAGGAAATTAAAGAGTTTAATTTCAACAATCGATTATGAGAAAGAGAAATCTTATCAGATGTTCATTAAGCTATTTGACTGAGATGTGAGGGATTGAGGGTTGAAAGCTACAGCAGAACAGATGATTATGGAGATCTTTACTGATGTGGTCCCGTTAAAAGAGTAAAAAATGCAGAAAATAGAATGGAAGATGATCAAAACAATATATAGCTCAAGAGAGTCAATAGATTGGAAGTTGACCAAATTTAATGCTTTTTTTTGGATTGCAAAAAGCACATTCTCTTTCTTCAGGAATTGCAAGTGGATTGGAAGTAGTAAATGCCAACACTAGTCCATAAGAATTCATATAAATCTAACGTAGGAAATTTCTCACACTAGAAATAATACTTCCTCATTTGAAAAGAATCCAGAGAAGAAACTAAGAAAATTATTTTTAAAAAGAAAAATTTTCAAAAAAAAGATCTAGAGAGACCTCATGCTTTTACTTTCAGGAATTTACCCTAGATTTTAAATGTAACTGCCAATTTCCAATATCGCTTCGTGAACCTGATGCTAGGAGTGAAGTCTCATGCATGTCCATGGCATCACTACTCAAACTTAAAGAATTTCCATCTTCATCTGCCAAATAGAAAAAAAGATGTCCAGTTCTTAACATTTCATCAGCCTCCTCAGATCTGCAAATTCAGCAATAAATAATAAGAACTTGTTCATCTTTACTAAAGAAGCATGATACAATCAACCATATTCTCAAAAGGGGAAAAAAACTATTCCAAGCCTCAAGCCTACACATCATGTAAGTTGCAAGTTAAAACAGATTTAACAAATATTCACAAAGTCCACGACTCAATTAAACTAATAGTCTGATTCTGAATCCTGCAGGACAGGTTCCAGTACAAGTGGCTCAATAAGAAGACGACTCGTACATCAAAAAGTGGAAAGTGTGTTAGATGACATAACCATATGGTCAGCAATGCAAGATTCTATTGATATATATGCTTCAACGTGAGTACATTACTTACAGGGCAAGAAAAAACTAACTTTCAATAATACCTCAGATCATTTATATTTATATTACGAGAATTTTTTTCAAATGCAAAATACACTTCATTTTTCTTCTAACACCTTCCGATGCCTAATTGTCTTCTGAAGATGGATGCACAAGAAAAATCCCAAGCTAGACATTACCCATTACAGGTGAAAGATATTTTTAGCGTGTGAGAATATGTGCACCTAGTAGTCCAATCATTTACCAATATGTGAAGCATATGAATAAAGTGAATTATTAATCCCCAATCAAAGGAAGGAACAAGAAGTCGACAAATGTTCATCAAGGACTTTACATGCAAGGCTAGATCTTTAGTGAACTAACCTACTACCAACGACAACTGTCCACAAAATAAGTTCCAATCCAGTTACCATACATCTACTCACTAACAAGTTAGTATTTCAAGCCACATCAATGCAAACAGTGCTTAAAATACTTTTTTATTAATAGCCATTTACTTCTTGCTATTAACTTCAATGCGAACAGTCCAATCTCCACCATAGCCACTACCACTCTCCTTTGTTTTCAGAAAACTTGTTGCCAAAGTCATGTCCTGGTCAACAAGAACTTGATGTCCAAAATCACGTGCATTATGATGAGTCCAACCATATGAGCTTAGTTCGTCGGAATCTTGGCACACATGCCTCATGAAATATCTTCCATTCTTAACACCTAACCACATCAAGCCAGCAAGCAATGAACGTGGAGTCCTGAGAGATAAGAGAACAATTTATTAGCTAAAAAACTATGTATTCGTCCAACCATTTAATAGAGTGGAGAAGAGTAAAATATGTGATCGCACTTACGCCAAGTGCATGTGTTCCTTTGTACCTTTAATTGAAAATAGATGTAGAAGAATTGGCTGAAGTCTAGATTATCATTACAGTGAACCATCATTATGTAACGGAATCATGGAGATAGAAACTCTAAAATAGTTAATTCAAAATTAAAATCTAACAACACAGCTACAGTTGACCACTCGCCTTAGAAAAAATGCAACTACCTCAATAGCTTTTAATCTTAGAAATTCGTTTATATTAGACATTTTTTGTTATATTTATTAGACATGTTATAAAGTCATTTATAATAATCCAACAATATGTACCGACTTTTTAAAATGATTTGGAGTGCATAAATTGATTTCCATAACACAACAAATAGAATCGAGCCATTCCAACCACCAAACACGCTTAAGGTTATGTGGTACAACACAGTGCTTCCTACAAACTCAAATTGAATAGTTGAGCATCCTGGAATTACGAACACATAACTCAGTTCAATTGTTGAAAACACGACGAGACTTTATTTTCAACTCAACAAAGTACCTGGCTCGCATTCCAAGATAAAGATGAGGTCGATAAGTTCCCCAGTACAAGCTCTCTTTATGTTCCCCTTGAAACTGTCTCGAAAACCGCATAAGAGTTGGAACTAAAAATATAAATAGCAAAACAGAAATAATGGAAGAAGTGTGTCCACCTGAGGAAGGTCGATAACTCTTGGAGCAGGAAATGGCGTAATAACCCTAGGAGTCTGATGATCTCCGACTGCCATCAGGCTTCTGATCAAATACAGTATGACGAAGAACGCGATGAAGCTAAAACCTACCATGACCTTGAGATTAACATTGAAAATGCGAATTGAGTGACGCGATTTAGTTCTATCTCTGTGGCGTGTAGAGATATCCGGAGATTGACGGACGGCGTCGTCGTCGCCGCTGTCGACGGCGGAGGATGATTTAATTCGGCTTCGAGGATTCCGTCGACTATGTCCGGGCATATTCAAATCAACGATTTAGACTCTCCAAATAGAAGAATCAAGAGCAACTACACCTTCGTTGAATCTCTTCAAGCCGCAAGGAGCAGGAGGAAGAGTGAAGTGGAGAGAGTGCAGAGAGGAGCCTCGTGTTTGAGATTCCTGGTTCTGACTTCTATAACTTGTCCGGTGACGCCTTGACTCGAAGCGCGCGTGGGTGGAAGCTATATAAATGGAGTTTGTTGGCGCGCTAAATTAGCGTGTCTTTGAGGCCTGAGTTGTTGGGCCGTATTAACATGGGCCCGGCATCTAGGGCCCAGTTTATCAGCAACAACAGCGTGCAACCGGGTTCGATGTTAGCAGTAGCACTTGTCTTTCTATTGTCCACCTTTGACAGTTTTTTATTTTTAAAAATATAAAATTATATATTTTCAATAGTTTCTCCCTTAAATTTGTCAAAATTTAACGGGTGAACAGTATTATTCATTCTTTTTTTTTTTGTTTGAAAATAATATTCTCACGTGTGTGGAATGAATAGAAATATATTTTTTTTGTTTGAAAATAATATTCTCACATGTGTAGAATGAATAGAAATATATTTGGTATGAAATTGTTAGAAATCAAACAAAAACTACATTAGAACCAGTTTTTTTAGCTGAAATTGGTAGGTTTAGTATATTTATTTAATTGTTGATTTTGTGCACTAATCAACCACAAATTTGCACAGACTTAGATTTTCATTAAATTGCTAATTTTTTATTAAAATGAGTGAAAGAATCAGTGGGATTTTTTTTTCTCTTCAAGGAAAGCGAAAGTTACTGATGGTATAAATAGAAATAGTTATCGTTCAATTTGATGAAACCATATCAAGCTTAATGTTTTGACGGTTAAGATCCTTGTGTTTATTGTCGACTTATTGGACGTATTCTATATCTCAATATTTCTCGCCTCGATATTACTCTTATTGTCCACAAACCAAGCCAATATGTTGTTAAGCCACGTCATGACAATCCCATATTACAACTATTTTATTATCTTTTATGATATTTGAAATCGACAGTGCAAAGGGATCTAGTTGCGCCCTTCCTCTTCATTCCTGCTTCTAGCCGGCTTTCAAACATGTTGATTGGGTTTCTTGCTTGGATTCACAAAAATTAACTGCTGATTTTTGTATTTTTCTCGGTAATTCTCTTGTTTCTTGGAAGGCTACGTAATAAAGCATTGTTTCTCATATGTCGGTTGAGGTCGAATATCAGACTCTTGCTGTTTCTAATGGATAAATTGTGTGGTTATCTTACTTTTTGAGTGATCTATAGCTTCTTTTCAAATTTGCGTGACTATTAGGCTGTCATCCATATTGCTTATAATTCTATTTTTGCATTAATACACAAAATATATTGAGCTCGATTGTCATTTTGTTCGAGATAAGATTTTTCTATTGGTTTTATCAGACTTTTACCTATTTGATCACACTTTTAATTTGCTAACATTTTCACCGAAACGCTTCATTTTAGTTATTTTTCTTCGTTACTGTTTAAGCTATGAGTTATTGATATTCACCCGATCTTGAGGGGAGTACTAATATTATACCTAGTTCCTTAGTTAGTCAACTTTTTTTTAGTATTAACATGTAGAGGTGGATTATCAAACTTACAACATCTTAGTTGGAGATATATGTCATTTATAACTATGCTCGCTTTGATAGTTAGTCAATTAATTGAGATATTTTGTTTCAAGGTTGTATTTATGTAACCTATATATATGGCTCTTAATTATTCAATAATTATTCTAAGTACAAAACGTCAATTTTATAACACAACTATATTAAATTATTCTGGCATCCTATTTAACAAAGTGCATAAGAAATAAGAAAAATTGCTCCCATTTTCAAAGTTTGTTGATTCTTAGAATTTTACAAATATCTAAATGCTATGGCCTATGTGTGTGTGTATATTATTTAATTATAAACTTCGACATGTTCCTTATTATTATTAACACATTCGTGAACATGGTAACAGAGACGACGAAGAAAAGGAATAACGAAGATATTACAAAAACAAAAATATTATTGAAACAGATTTTGAAGTTTGAAAACATTAATTCCCAGTAGTTTACAGTTTACACTTACAGAGAGACACGTGGAAATATGGGGTCGAAGGTGTAGTCATCCGCCGCCGTGGCAAGGGCTCAACAGCCGCTTCTTCTTATCGCCAAGGCTCAGGCTCCGCGCCAAGTTCGGAACCGGAAGGCAGCACGGCGTCGACTGCGCCGATTTTCCTTTCACCGATCTCGAACGCCTCTTGTTCAAACTCGGCTTCTTATTATTACCCTCCGCATTTACGACCTCCACGTGGCGATTACTTGTATTTGCTATTGACGATCTTCCTTGTTCGCTGTTGAAACTGTCGCGAAACAGCTCAAACAGCTGCTTCTTCCCGTCTTTCGGAGATGGCTCAGCCGGCGGCGTCTCCACGCCGTTCGGACGCCTTATCGGAGTGCTGCCGCGCGACGGCGTATTATCTGCGTGAAAACAAGGCACTCGAAACTCAAAATCCATTTTTGCCGCAAGGTTGGAAAAGTTCACAAATATTCATCCTATTTGGTCGCTATTTTTACTCAATTTCTGCCACATTCACTCAGAAATTGTAACCAAAAAAATAAAAATAAAAACTCGACTCATATTCTGCTAAGCCCTATTAGATTCACACCACGCCTATATTCTATAATTCATCGAAGAATATGCATTTCAATCTTATAAAAGAAGGTAAGAAAAGTTGTAGAGAAAAGATTTCCTCCCGAAACAAAAAATTAAGGGCCGCTTTGATAAGATTTTTGTTTTTTTTGTTTTTTGTTTTTATTTCCTTTAAAATAGAATTACGTAACCCCACATCGATAGATTCAAAGAAGGGCAAAATGCTTACATATTTTTTAATTAAATTTAGAAATGGAAAATAAGGAAAAAGTTACCAAACGATCCTACAATTTTCGCGAGATAAAATAAGCTGAGAATTAGATTAATTCCGACCTCCATTAACGCTGAAGAAATCTTCGTTGTCAGAGTCCAACCAGGCCTGAGAATCGAAGAATATCTCGTCGCCTTTACCTGCATTAACACGGCCGCCGAAACACTAAAACAAATAACTCCGAAACTTAAACAAAACACATCAAAATAGCCGAAAACAATATAAAATATCAGAAAATCGATCAAAGAGTGGAAAAAAAGAAGGGCGGAATCGAACTGAAATCTGGAGAACAGGGAACGTGGTTCATTGGTGAAGACAGAGGACTGGAACAGAGCCTGCGGATCTCCTTCTCCAAAACGATAGCTTTAATGGATTGGGAGGGCACATTAACGACCGTCTCGGAACCGACCGACCACTTGAATTCGGAAACAGATTTTCGGTGTCTACGAACAAGAACACAATTCCCCATGTCCGAAACAGGCGCCTAAATTTCGGCTATCGGTAAGATCTCTAACATGGCGGAAGGGAATCTGCGGTGGCGAGAAGAAGATTGAGATTTTGGTTAAGGGTCGGTTTGGCTCTGCATTTCAATGAAGACAAGGAAAAGAAGGGACTTTTCGGGGCAACAAAAAGTCTGGCGATCTGGGTCCTGCGGGAAAGGGGTTGTTTGGTCTTGAAAGTGAAGTAAAAGCATTTGCAGGGAGTGGGGCCCTACTAGTATATGCAAGTTTTTAAAATGTATTCTCCAGTAAAAATACCGTGGTCTCAATTTTAAGTCCGTGGTTCATATTTAAAAAATAATAATAACAAATAAATATTTTATTATTTTTAAATAAATAAAAGAATTATAATTATTAATATCATCTCTATATTAATAATATTTTATTGATATATATATATATATTTTTTTTAGTTTTTCAATATTATACGTTTATCTATCATCTTTTACGTGGATGTCAAACCAAAAATATATAGAAATTTTCAGGTGAAAATTTAGTGTGCTTTTGGTTGGGGATTGAAAATAGAAATCTAAAAACAAATGAATTTAATGAGTAGTATTCCTTGAATCTCAATTTGAAAAATTATTGAACTGTGTTTAGTAATATCTTGTAAACTAGTGTTAGTTACCCACTATTAATTTAAAATAATATGAATTATTTTATTACCATTTTTGTTATAAATTTTGCAACATCATTATTTTACAATATTATCTTTTACTTATTTTAATTTTAACAAAATGATGAAATTGATTTACAGATATTAAAGTTTTTATCATTTTTAATGTAATTCTATGTCTTTTAAGTTCAAAATCCAAAAATAATGAAAACATAGAAACTATTATCTTTAGAATTTTTCACAATTTAGACCTGGATTGCAAAAACAGTTTTAAAAAACAAAATTGACAAACAAATATTCTAAAAACAATGAACATATGCCTTTAATATCCATAATCAAACAAGCTTTTAATATCTTGATTATATATTCAGCTTTTGGTTGTTAAAGAAACACACACTTTGAGGAATGGGAGAGGCTGCTTCTTTTGTGGAGCTTTGGATTAAAACTATTTGGTCGACGACTTTGCTCCGAATCCAAGACATGGAATCATTGCTTCATCTAATCAAATTTTCTTACCCACTCCTGCTTTTCAGTTTTCACCATATATTATATTTTACTGTTGCTTTTTCTACACTCCACCCAATAGATTCAACTTTCGTTTATGGTTAATTTTAGTATATAATAATATGACTTCCTTCAAATTAGATCAATTATCCAATGGCACTACTTTGTGTATACATGAAAAATACGGCGAAATTTCCACCTATTAATGATAGTTAAATTGGTAAAATTCACTTGAATCTCAGATAAATTTCTCTCCCTTCAACTGTGCCATGGATCAATTAGTGGGAGAAAATTAAAAAGGAAAAAAGTGGATCACCCATGGAGAGTGGATACTAATATCACTTATGAAAGCTGGGCAAGTTGGGACAAGTGGAGAATCATTTGTACCTAATACAAATTATTTTCTCTCTTATTAGATGCATAGAAGAGAAAATTGTAAAAAGGTTTTTTAACCATGTATTCAACAATCATGAAATTGGCAGCTATATGATAGTGACCTCACTATTCTAAATTTCTCCAACAAAACAAATTTCATTTGAATTCGCATCTAGTTGGAAGTTTCTCACAAAACGTAACATGCAACCACTATAAGTTAAAAAGAATATTTTGAAAAGAATAGTACTTAGGTGTTTATCAATCCGTATATATTTCTTACTTACCACAATTGAAAAGTTATCAACAAAAAGAAATAAATGCAAAAACAAAGAGAGAGAAATGAGTTTTTATTTTTTTTTTCCTTTTTATAATGATAAGTAAGAAATATCTAATGATCACCGATCAAGAACTAAATATTATTCTTTAGGCAATTGGAAAAGAAAAAATAAAATTAAAACATTTGAATTTTGACATGCACACAATACTACCAAAGCATGTTAGATACTAATGCAATTCATCATTTCGATCGCTCCCATAAAAAAGGAACATACTCATCCACAGGGAAATGAGAGCAGAAAGGCTTCATTGATAAAGTTTCAATGTTTTCCACTCTTTTAAGCTTAAAACATTAATGAATCTTAATACCTTTCAATCATTACATAATTCATACTATTTTAGCAACTCTTAATATCAAATCTCAAGTATTTTCATTCTACTATACAAACTATCGTATTGTGCATGCCTATACTTAACGATATTGACTTTAAAAAGACCAGTTCGTTGAATATGGTAGGAAACCATCTCTTTAAAAAGAAATTTCACTAAATAGATCTCCGAACTCTATCTCTTCAACCAACTCTTTCCAAAATGTTACATTTATTTTTAAAAAAAAAAAAAATTAACACCTCAGGTAAACGCCAAAATTTCAAAGGTAACAGTAATTTAAAAGGAGGTGAAAAACAAAAGGCATCAACTATCAAGTCAAGAACAGTATTAAGAAGATATTATACGTTTAAAGTCATCTAAGATATTATACGTTTAAAGTCATCTAAAGTCAACAGTTTTAACTATCGAATCTACTCATGGTTTAACATGAGTGTCAATTAGATCGTGGTCCTACAAAAGAAAGATGGAAAATACGTAGATAAACCAATAGTAAAAAGAAAAAAAAAATTGAACATTCTTCTTCCTCCAAAAAAAAAAAATAATAAATAATATCTTCTTAATAGTGTTAATTAGATCACACTTTGTTGAATTAAAAATAAATAAATAATTACATGGTCACATATTAATGGGAGGAATATATACGATGGTAGTACTAGAAAATTCCTCTATCTATCTTCCTCCCCCACTCTCTTTCATGTCTTAATTTATATGTCAACAGCAAAAGATCAACAATTGAATATTTAACCTCCCTTCAAGTATTAGACAATTATTTCATACACATCCCTTCAAGGGCCTCAGAGGAACCACCACATTAAAAATGAACCTCCATAATAAATGCAGAGCAACTCACAACACAAAAAGAAGATTATCGATATTCCCATTGTAAAGCATCCGAGAACTACCAATGGCTCAATAACTCACCTGTTCCAACGGCAATGGTACGACTAGTCAGATTGTAATGAATGCTGGAAGAGATAAGGAGGAAAGCACAATAGCCAGTGATCAACGATTCCGGAAACATGTGCAATAATTCTTGAGGTTAAATGAACTTTGACTATCAAATGAATTAGCAATGGCTTCCCATAAAATGTGTACTCCCTAAGGCAAACACTTGAATATATCATATGAGTTTCCAATGATAACCTGCACATAAGGAAACACAAACAGAGAAAGCAAGGAAAAAGAAATATGGTAAACGAGCAATGCAGCGTATGACTCCGGACGGTTTCAGGATTGTGTCAACTGAAATGGAAACTGGATTAGAATCCTTCCAGAAAAGCAGGGTAACATGCAGACATGAGGGCAATTCAAGAGTAATGCTTCTGTTGAATATATAATGAAAAGATCACCTTGTGTATAACAATACAAATCAACATTAAAAGATGATAAATCATTGAAGAACATAGTTAATTCTAAATGTGAACAGATCCTCGAAAGAGAAGGAAACAACTTGTGCTTAGATATTTATCGAATATGATCATCACTCTATAGTTCTCCATCTTGAACAAAAAACTTTAGATCCAGTAAGAGCATAGAAAAAAAGAGCTTGATAGGTAAGTGCCACGACTACAGCACCTCTCCAGGTAAAAATTTGTCTTTGAAAAGGGGGAAAAATCAGAAGCTCTCCCTAAGAGCCAAGAACAACGGGCGTGGGCCAGGCTTAGATCATACTTATTAGCATGATTACTATTATCACAGTCAAAAACTTTAAGTAGATAGATAAAAGGGTACTGATGCAGACCCCGTTCTTAAATGGTACTCATGCGGCAAGCAATGAATAGATGAAGTATGGAAATTTTTGGCTAATTAGCCTGAGTCCAGTCTGTTACTCTAGCGTTTTCAGGAGGCTTATAGCTATCATCCGGAGGTACAGATACAGTTTCAAGTAAAATTCACAGTACACAATGAATCAAGAACAGAGGAAGGATTGATGTTAAATTGGTTCGGTTCAAAATTTATGTTGAACAAAAAAAAAACATTTTCTCATGATGACGACTGAATTACGCTGATGCAAATGCAATTGAATGCACTCAAGTACAGAATGGTGTAATTGGACCATCCATAAAAGCTAAGACCTTAACCAGTAATACACACCATGATTAATAAACCTGATTGAAGATTAGGAACAGGTACGATATGACATACCCAGTTCTTTATTCAATAATGGCTGGAAATGGCATCCTCACTAGTGTACAGGCACATATTCCAAAACATTACAACTGTAAGAAATGAGTGGAAATTGAAGAGACCCAATTGAAAGCCAGACAAAACCAATATCAAACAAGAAATCCATTTCAATTGTGAAGAACTGGAATGTAGAAAGAAATTCAACTAAACAGGTGGGAACTTTATCATATCCAACTGAACTAAATGACTATATTTGTCGGGATACGAACATAGTCAGCACCCATCAGCTAAAAATGAGGAAGAACTTGAATAAATAAATAAAGACGATATCTCTATTGGTACAAATCATTTTGGGTAGAATTCAAGTAAAAATCATATCTACATAGACATAAAGTGAACCAAATCATACCAAAATGTGGAGAGAACTATTGTCTTTTTAAGTCTTAGCTGAAACTTGCATAAGAGAAAGCGATAATCAAACCACATTGGACAGGTGGGGTTGAAACAAGCCTCAAGCATCAAGGGCAATGAACAGATTGTCCAATTTGCAAGTTAGGTTTCCCCATGTAGGAAGAAATTTTATTTTCCCTATTCGGAAAATTTGGTTTTAGTACAGAAACCAAATGCAAAAGCCTAAAGTTCCGAACCAGTTTCTCGTCAGCATTTCCTTACATTACTTACATCCACGCAAGATGCGTAGTACAGTCCGAAAGTAAAATCAAAACCCTAGGTTTTGAAACCTCGAGTCGTGTATCAAGTAATCTCCAACGGGAAATTCATAGTGGAGAATAGTGACAACAAGGAAAATCATACAGATATGATACTGTTTCGAGCATAGGGTGCGAGGATTGCAATGCCGATACCAGAAAAAAAAAT